GAGCTTAAAAAGAAAAGCTCAGACGAGAGGAGAGAGTGTGTGTGTGTGGAGAGTGGGAGAGGGGAGCGCGTTTCGCCATTTTGAAATATTAAAATGAACATCACCTCTCAAGGTAGTGTTATGGGATGTAGTTTTGAAGCAGAGTCATTACCGGATTTCGATGAATTTGACTCGTACTCTGTTGTGGATGGCTACCATCAGGAGTCGTAAGTTTTCCTGACATTTACGGTTTAACCCGGCTTGCTGTGTCTGCTTGAGACCTAAAAATAGTTGATGTTTACTGTTGCATCGAAGTTGTTTTTAATTACGAATCTGAAGCAGACGATGCCTCAACTTTTAATTAGACTTCCCTCTCAAATTTTCTTAGGTAAGCCATGTCACAATTCCGTCTCTAGTGAGATTTACGTGTATTGTTTCTTAATCTGACTCATGAGGGTCAAAATTTGTTTTGGGTAATGAGGTCAAGAGTGGTACCTGACATTTGACATTTTTGGACGAACTGTGTAAATTGTGTCCTCCTTCAAGTTCCATCTGCCTTACTTGACAGTAAACATTATTCTCTGTTGGATTGTCAGTGCTGTCCTCGGTTGTCTCGCCCCTTTTCGAGCGCTCCTGAGGTTAGGGTTGCTCCATGTTACCTGTTGTTAGTCATCCAGTGGGTGTGTATCGATTGGTCATCGCGCCCGGGCGCGCGTCCAGTCGCTCGATCGTGGCCGAGCCAAGTGGTCAAGCAAATGCTAGAGCTCCCTCCGGGCCCTCGCGATTTTCCTGAAATAATTTCCCTGTTTCTGCTCTGTGTGACTGAAGTGTTGCGTGAAATAACTGCACCCTATCCTGGTAGTGATTTACTGTTACTAATTATTGGATTTTGAGTGAAAATCAGTTGTATTGTAGCGTTAATTCAAGCAAGTCACTCCTGCTAACTGCTGTTTAAGCTAACTTGTTTCTTTTGTTGTCTACTCCCGTTTGTGTACTTACGTGTGATCATTTGTTTGGCATGCTCCTTTTGGATTCAACTCAGTTGCTGAGACAAAACCATCGTCTCTGCTACTGTAACCATCGAGGAATTTGTAACGAAAATAACCTTACGGGTAAGTAGAACTAACTTTTTTATATTTTAGAAATAGACATCATGCCTGAAAAAGTGTTTGTAAACCCATTCACTCTGGTGCCTTTATTCTTTATAGACCTCTAGTGCTTTGCTCTATAGTATCTTGATCACTTATTCGTTAATTATCCCACGGTACTTTGATTACACAGGTCTAGACGACCCTCTGAGTACAAGATGGCACCTACGACCACCATAGAGACAGTCACCATCACTCGACCACTCAAGGTAAGCTGTCCACTATTTCATTTGCTCCTGGCTGTTTTAAGCACAAACGAACCCTTTAAATACCCTCCTAAGACTATCCTACGTTACATTTGATGGCCACACCCATTGCCCTTTCCGTTTGCAATGATCATTAGCCTCCATTTGTCCTTCCCCGTGCCCTTTCCGTCATAAATATTGATTGGGTCAACCTTTGTGTTGGGGCGCGCTGGACACGAAGGAATGCGTGACCTCGTCAACGCCGTGATGAAGGACGCTGGAAGGGTGGAGGGGGAGGGTAGCAGGGAGGTGGAGGTGGGCGGCCGCCTGGCAGCATGATTTCTTGTGTTGTGCTCCGCTCCCGGGCCCCGGCCCTAGGCCCCGGCGCGGACCTGTGACATGGCTCTATTGGTAGAGGCCGGCCCGCCGCGCCCCCGCCGCCCCCGCCCAGCTCCACCGCCCCTGCCCTGCCGGCCGGGGCCTAGGGCCGGGACCCGCCCCCTCAGCCGTTGTTGTCTGGCCCACAACCCCCTTGGGGTTGAAGGTGGCGGTGGCGGGGTAGGGAGGGCCACGGGCGGGGCGCGGGCCTTTGAGAATGCGGGAGTGACAGGGAGGGGGTAGGACACCCCTTTCACCACCAGCCCCTCCCAACCCTCCGGGTGCCGCCCCTCCGCACCCGCCCGCACCCTCCTGCCCAGGAGCGCGAGCCGAGGCGAAGTTGCCGGGCCGAGTCGAGCCGAGCAAAGCCCTGCCGCGGCTCCAGCAGGCGGGGCGGGGCGGAGCTAGGCTTGCACGATATCACGATATATCGTCGACGATACGATATTGGGTCGATATCGTGGGGGACGATATCGTATTGATCCGTTAGACGATACGATATGAGACGATACACGATAATGGCGATACCACGATATCCGACGATACAACGATACTGGACGATACCACGATATTGTACGATATCACGATACCACGATATTGTACGATATCACGATACCACGATATTGGACCATACCACGATATTGAACGAAATCACGATACCACGATATTGGACGATACCACGATGCTGAGGAAGCGCATTAAAGAAAGAATCCCACCACTCGAAATGGACAAGTGTCCACTTGATTGGTGGAAATTTCATGAGTCTAGGCTCCCAAACCTGGCGAAACTAGCGCGGAAATACCTGTGCATACAGGGCACCACGGTACCGTCTGAGCGGGTGTTAACACTGAATTCAGTGTGGGTGTTCGAGTGGTGACAGATTTTTGGCACTGCTTGACGGGTACTCACATCAACCAGCTAATATTTCTGTTCATGAACAGGGCTTTTGTAAAGAAGTAGTGTAGACGATACTCTCAAACGGGACGATACCACGATACACGATATGAGACGATATCACGATACACGATATTAGACGATATCGCGATACAGGGCGCTACCACGATACCACGATATGGGACGATATCACGATATCGCGATACAGGGCGATACCACGATACCACG